TGTCTACAGAGGGGGAGGCGAGGCCCTCTCCTGGTGGAGGTCCGCATATTGAACTGCCATGTCTCTACACGTAGCCCAGAACAGACAAACCAAACACGGCTCCCAGATAGGGTATTCAAATGGTTGCAGTCCTGCAAGACACTAGATGGCAATAAATCCCTACACAAGTGGTCCTTTAAACTAATATTAACAACCACAACGGCAATAGCGAAAGAGCTGCTTGCTAGTGTGAACCACACAAATGTATTTTCAATTATTTTTTATGTTTGCATGAATGAGAATATCCACTCAACAAAAAAGAAAGGACTTTTCAAAAATTAAGTTAGCTGCAGTAAAGACGCTGTCCTGAGAAAAATTTGTCAGGATATTCTAGCCATGCATACCCTGTTCTAGGTGTTGCCTAGCAACGGAAGCAGAAGAATCGGAATGACAGGGAATATGTTCCATAATATTTAACAGAAGATTATTAGTAAGGCCTTGTAATTTTCAACTTATAAAATAAGTCAAGAGATATAGCCCAAAAACCAATGTCCACTACAGAGTACATAAATGAACAGGCTGGGTCTCAGGAGGATATAATTACTGCAGCGTCATCAGATTGAAATTTAAACTTGTCTAATACTTTGTTCATTACCAAATACCTTTAGCCTTAGCTGTAGCCTATTTTGTGTGTATTGCTAATTAGTGGACAGGGATGCTGGAGGTCAGAGTTGGGGGTGGTGAAAGAAAGTCTGTCTGTGTAATGATGTAAATGCTAAAGTCATGACAGTCATGGTTTTTGCATTAATTTGAATGGCCAGGATAATTTAACAGCTATTAACAACATTTTACACACATTTCATAACTTTTTAGTGGATAAAACTGATACAAAAACAATGCAAAACCTTGTTCCTGCCATAAATACCAGTGTGTACATGTAAGTAAAGTAGAAAGTCATTATAATTTTAAACATCTTTATGAATGAATGGTTTTCATTATGCCAGATTTTAGGGGGGGCTGCAGATCCCTCAGCACACCTACTTCCAGCACCCATGTTAGGGGATGTTGTATTAGCATGCTGCTGTTAGCATTTAAGTGCATTAACAAGCATGGAAAACATTATGAATAGAGTTGAATCGAATAGGAGTAAATGACAAATACGTGAGTCTAGAAATTAGATACCAGTAAAACCACATGCCTGCTAATTAGTAATTTATCTAAGTATCACCATGTAGAACATTATATCCTCAGTGTTGATAATATGTAAGATTATATTCATTAAGTTGCTCTTTGGTTTGTTTTTTGTTTTTTCTTTCTCATTGTTATGCTTTTGCATCTTTCCAGTCCATATAAAAATACATATGCAGGAGTGAAAATGTTGGGATTCCATTTCCAAGTCAGTGCCTTCTCCATCTGTCCACACACACCATGCCATGACGGTGGCATGAACGTGGCTTTTAGGCCTTTATAAACCCCAACAACAGCAGCAGCATACTACAATAGCTATGTAGGTTCTTAAGTATTCATGTATGCACTGGAAAACCTGCCTCCATGGGTCTTTTTGGATCGCCAGTGTGGGCTTCTCTGCTAACTCTCCTGAGCTCGGAGGGCGCAAATGAAACAAGTCTACCATCTCTGTTGGAATCAATTCTTTCTGGAAGTGAATTGGTTACTAAATATAAAGTGAAGATTTAAATGCAGTGCTCTTTTTTTTACAATGAAAGTTTCAGGACTGGTGTTTTTGAATGTGTATCCACAAGCCTCCAGATGAGGGAATAGGGATGGATGTGCTGCAGCGACAGCGTCACACTCTGCAGGATGCTGCAGTGTATGAAGGAGTTTACACCTCTGATCCCCGTCGTCGGTGCAGACAACGTTTCGCTGAAGTTCTCAAAGTGCTATGGATGATGTGTCAAGTGTTTATTGAGATATGCAGAGTGCTTTTAATGATAGCGCTCACACTGTCACATACATATTAATAGAAAGCCCTCACTGAAATCAGAATCTAGAAGAAAGAATGATTTATATGCTTTTTTGTTTTGTCTCTGTTTATAGCACTATTGTAAGTAGTGCTATAGAAAGTTAACTGACAATCTTACCTTTAATCAGTTAGAATTTCAGTCTGAAAACAGCTGCAACAGTTTCTATACCATTAATAAATCATAATAAAAGGAATTATAAAAAAGAGCACAGTATAGAACTAACTAGCTAACTAACTACTACTACTAACTCCTCCTCTCCTCTTGTTTTTCCTGTTTCTTGTACCCACCTTTCAAGTAATTTCCCCACGGGGATTATTAAAGTATTTCTGATTCTGATTCTGATTCTGATAACTAGCTACAAATATATGTATTTATTCATTATTCACCACCCTTATCTTTCATCATCATTGTCTTCCCTCTACCATATTTTGTCTTCTTGTTCTTTATATCTGTCTTGCCTTTTTGGGGTTGTTATATTGCTTTCTGAGTATCCTGTTTTTGCTTTTGTAGTTGCAATATAAATACAATTATTATTAATTATTATTAATCAGTAGTAGCAGTAGCATTAGCAGTCGCAATAATAGTAATAGTAGTAGCAGTAGTAATATCAATAGTAATAGTAGGCCTATTATTAACAGTAGCTGTTCACGACCTCTGCTCCAGAGCCGGGTTGTGACACTGTAGTATTGGTAGTGGTAGTAGTAGTAACATATAAATGTTACAGGTAATCCTGCTGCGTTGGGGTCATATGACTTATGCCACATTCATGCCAAGGACATGTGTGCAGGTCTCAGGCTACACAAAGCAAATACACACACTGAGTTAGAATTAGCAATCATCCAGTTGGGCGGAGAGAAGCTGGGCATTTGTGGGAGGTTAACACTTGGCACTGTTAGATTTGGTACTTTAGGCATTTGGAGGTTAACATTGGGCAGAGTGCTCGTTATACTCCTGTAGAGAGAAACAGAGTCACAGGAGACAAAGAACAGAGATTCAAAGCTGATGATTAAGTTAAAGTCACACTTTAAACATACTGATTTGTGATATTTGATTTGTTATATACCCATTAGCACTTACAGATCCAAAACTATCCCAGCTCACTGCAACTTTAAAACCCAACCAATTAGTCAACTGAAAAATACTAGCAAAATGCAACACAAAGTAGAACTATAAGAGTGGACAGGAATTGTGCTAGAAGTATGGTGTCCTAGTCCTAAAGTGGTATTTGGGGTTCAGTAGCATTTCACTGATTCAGAATAAAGTATTCAGTATCTGCTCTATGAAACACATATTAGAGAGAAGTAAATGTAGCTAAAAGCTGTCAGTTATAGAATGTAAGATGCATTCATCATGGTGTTAGTCAATTATTTGACATATTCTACTTTGGTGATGTTTTTAGTTTTAAAATTGTAACAGTACTGGCCTTGTTTCATTTCCTTTTGGAGGTAAGTTTTTCTGTATTTACCAAAATATCGGTAGACAGTATACATAGACAGGATATACAGTATAGTACTGAAAAAAAACCTAACGTGACGTTGCCCATTGGTTTGTGGAGTACCATTTTGAAGCCTCGAATTCTTTGTTTTGGCCACCTCCATGACAGTTTGACAGTTAGACGGAGCCAGGGCGAGCCGGCAGACGTGACGCACTACGAGTTGAACTACGCTCATTGGCTGTACAGTTTTGACTCGTCCGTAGCCGGAAATAATGGCAGCTCGCCTGGTCACACATGATCTCGTATGCCAGCTAAACAGTACACTGAAGTATGTTTCTGAAACAATTGTAGGTGAGAAATAGTCAACGCAGTAACATAATCTGGATCCATATTTGATCAGCACTGCCCAGTTTGACAGTTTGATCTGAGTTTGGTGGGCTGGTAAGACTCACTGAGAGTGACCTGTCAATCAAAATGTAGCCCCGCCGAAAAGCATACATTATCATCTATTGTACTCTAAATTGGACCATAATTTACTAAATGGACATCATAATGTATGGAAGAAAGTGTGAAACTAGACAATCGACAATTAGGATTATTAGGAAACTGTTTACTGAGCTGAAGTGAGAAGTTGGCTCATTCTCCATTAGAGTTAATCTATCTAATCTAACTCTGTAATTGTTGGAAAGACTGTGGGAAGACTGAGAAAGAAAAAGGTTGAGTTTTATTTTGTTTCAGTCCAGTTTAAGTGCATTTTACGTTTTTCTGCTAGGTAAAATTACTGATTTTATCAATGGTGTCTGGCCTGCCGTAGTGTCCATTGTTTTTATATGAGACGCTGATGCTCTAGTGCATTCTTCAATTTTAGAAATGGAAGTTTTCGATTTCACAATGTGTGTTTTGTTCTTAAGGCCTCTGCACACCAACCCGAACGGACGACCGTTCGGCAGAAAAAGCAGTCGGAACTGATCAGTCGGCTTCCCGTCTTCCTTGAGTCAAAAAAAGCCTACCGATCACACCAAACCGAACCGCTAAAACTGGAGTGTACGTTCTGCGCGTGCGGCAAATGCGTAATACGTCCCCATAACAGACGGCGGCGCTTAATCTGTGGGTTGTCAGCCCAAAAAAAATGAAAAAACCGAAAATGACGGGATCACTCTAGAACCTAAGTAAACACCAGAGCACGCTGTCGTCAGTCATTGTTTTCATCAGAGAGTTGTTGATAGTAGTACAAGAGGATCGTTATTGTCATTACTCGCTGAACGGGAAAAAAATACGAATGCTAATAATAACAAATATACTGGCGTTTGGCGTAGTATGTTACCATAGTCCACTTCCGGGTTTTTCCTCGTGCACCTCACTGATTCGCTAGTCAAAGGGGCTAGCATCTCCACCAATCAGATTTATCATTCGAGCCGACGGCACTGGGCCGATTCTACATGTCGGAAATCGGCAAAATGAACGCCGACGCCGGGACTGGACGACAGGGCACGGGACAACACCAAACCAATTATCAGAGCCCAACCTCGCCAGACCTTTGTCCGACGACGTACCGACAGACCGGATAATTTGGTGTGCAGAGGCCTTTAGAGTTACACCCAATGATTCTATCCAAATTGAAACTTGTTAACTATGTTGAGTTTCTAAACTTCAACATTGAGCTGAGAGGAATTATGGGGTACTAGAACACAATCAGAGTAATGTATCTTTATATTACAAAGGTCAGCTCATCATGTATCCTAGATATATTGTGATATGTTCCCTAATGTGGTTATTTATATATTAGAAAATACAAATACATACAATCTTTTCTATTAACAAAAATATAAATGGATGTAATTTTTTTTTTAATAAGTTAGATTTATAAGTCTGATATCTTATAGTTTTTTACATAACATTTTCACCACTCGGTGCAAGTGTACTTAATAAAGTGGCCAATGAGGAGTTAAGCTAAATCTGTGCACAGGTCTGCAAAATGAAAGTGGCTACAAAACACATCACTTCCCAGCTAAGACAGGTAAAGGTGAAATAAATCAAGGGATCCTCACTTGACAGGTTCCCAGGATTCCCTTTCAAAGCCTCTGTGAATGGACTGAGCAATGGAAGACTCCATCAGGTCCACATATCGCACCACCAGGGGGGCATACAGGTCCTGCAGGTGTTTGTGGAACTTCCCGTTGCACAGGTTATCTGAGGGGATGGGGAGGAAGAAATAAGACATTGGAGTGAGTTAGTGTGGTATCGTGATAGTTTTGTGATACAAACCCTCAGTTAATATCAACAGAAAATAACTTTATATGTGAGTTAAAGCCTTTTTTCACACTGGACCAGGACTGACTTCCTAACTATTTGTAATGTCACAAATCATGCTGTTAGGCCCCGCCCCTTAAAATCTGATTTTCAATGAGCACAGAGAAACTATTCACTATCAGTAGATGAATGTAAAAAACATCCTTCTGGAGTCAAACTCTGCACATACATCATTCATACAGCACACTGTAGGAGCAAGAAGAAACACTGATTTTGAATGGAGGGGACTAAGTACTTTAAATCCTGCATTAATTACATCCACATCTTTTCTGGACATTGCTGTGTTACTTGGCGTGTTACTGTGACAACCCCTGCTATGTTATCTTGTGTGCTGTGTGATTCACCTGTCTCTCTGCTCACTCTGCAGGTGATCATTAGGGTAACCAACACCTTAGGGCCCCACTGTTTTTGAGTGCTTCTCTCTCTCTCATTGTCTACTCTGCAGCAGCTCTACCCCCCTCTCCCCTTTGTTTATTTTTATCTTAGGCCTTTATTTGCACCTTTCAACAACCTGTTTTTGAAGCACTGCATAAGGCTACATCTTGGAGCTACTCATCCCCCTCCACCACCTGTTTTCAGTTATTCTAGCAGATTAGACTTGATTAGACCAGCTCAGGTTGAAGATGGGCTGGAGCTTTGATGGGGATTTATTAAGTCACAAATCTCAATTTTCCGGTAGGAAAGGTAAAGGTGCAATTTGTCCCACCCTAATAGATGCAAAACTTTTGCCTGACTCCAAAGCCAACCATAGTGTATTGATTAGAGTGTTGAATTAGTGTCAGTAGATTGATCACGATAGACAATGTAAATATCTTCTATAATAGCAGTCCTAGTAGCTGTAGGGGTGGGAAGCTCTTTTGGCCAATACCTTTTTTTCTGTGTTTCTTCTGTTTGTTTGTTGTTTTGGGCCATGCTCACCCTGATACCTCTAGTACTACCCTGATTGATTAATAAATAAATTCTGTTGATCTGCAGCTGTTGTGACACTGGTCTTCTCTGAGAATGGGGGAGAGGGGAGTCATTTTTATGCTATGCTCTGGTTACCCCTATAGGCCGGACATAACAGGTAGAGGACTCAGGAAGATGTCAATTACAGTACTACACACAGTCATGAGCAGAGGTCTAATCAGCCAGGTTAGCTCAAAACACCTGTGTGAGTGTTGACAGGTTTTAATAATCCTTAATTGGCAAGTCTGAAACTCCACAGGGAAACTTTAGCTCAGCTCAAGAGTTGTTGTTGTGCAGCATAATAGACACATGTTGGAACCTCAGAGGGTAAAGGTTTATACATTTAAATTAGTTCTTCAGTGCTCTGTCTCTAGAGCATTGGGCTGAACACATAGTTTAATTGCTACAGATGTCAGCATAGGGGGCACAACAGAATCTTTCACTAACTGTGACCTAAAGGGCCTTTTTATGCTCTTACATGTTCATGTGCATGCTGGGTAGCAAAATAAATGTGATGGGCAGGTAGGCAAACAATAGAGAAGCCCATCCCTGGATGGTGATAATGAACAATGACAGGGGAGGTCGGTGTTTGTGGCTAAAACTGGCTCTTCATTAGCAGGTATGACACAGCATATCCACTTTTCAATCTTTCCAAACAAAAGGTCTGAGTCTCGGGGTATTTCTAAATCCAACCCGTCAAACACATTTCCCCCAGTCTCCGCCGGCTCCCAACTGGTAAAAAGGCAACACTGACAAAGACCACAGGAGATAAAATGGAGGCCAGTGTGTGCTAATGTGATGCCTCACGGCTCCATGCAGTGTGTCTGCTTTTCCTCTCCCTCTCTCTCTCTTTGTTTTTCTCTCCCCCTCTGAGCATGTGTGTGTTTGTGTTTGTGTGTGTTGGCATTGGAGTCAAGGTCGATGATACACAGTAGGTGCAATGTTTGTTGTGTTCCCTGATTGCCACTCTTCCAATTAGCCACTTGAGCGGCTGCTGTCCACTTGGATGTGTTGTGTCCAGAAGTGTGTTCGCAGGGCTTGCCGCGGCCCAGCTACCACTGCTTTAGACCTCATTAACTCCTCGAATGGCAGCCCAACTTTGGCGCCTGTCTAGTGCTAAGGCTATTTACTGCTCCATAAGTGCACCGCTGTGGGGCAACAGAGCAGATGACCTTCTGTGGAAAAGATGTCCCCATGACGATACGCTTTATTAAAGTGCTTGTACACTGTGTGAGCAGGAGATGGTTTGCTGTGTGTGATGTGTGCTACATAATGACGCTGTGGGCTTATGCTTTGGACAGACATTCTGAAAAGGAAGGATGGCACACTGGCATTATGAGTGGCCTCTTTGCATTTCTGTCTGTAAACACTGTTGTATAATGACTTCTATGTCTCTCGAGGTAATACCTCACCTTGGACTGGGCTTGGAGACTACAAATAAATGTTTCTGCAATTACAGGCATTTCTTAGTAGCAGCAGCAGTAAAAAATTAAGATAAATACATTTTGGATATAATTTTTGGATATAATTATATAAATGAGTAAATGTAATTTTAATCCAATTTATTAAGCATTTTTTGTTTCTAAAGAGCACTTTTGTTCATGTCCCACAACTGTGATGTCAACTAGGGATGCCCAATAATTGTTAGGGCAGATAAATATTGGTAAATATTAATATCCTGATTATGGGAAACTTATATTTTTATGAATTATCAGGATAATTAAAGCTCTAGTAGGTAGATTTTAAATTTGTGAAAAAATCAGGTTCCTCTGGCACCTCCTAGTGCTCCTAATGGCTTTTGCAAGAATCCACCAGGTCTGAACTCAACCAATCAGAGCAGAGAAAGACAGTTTTTCTTAGGTCTCATTTGCAGGTTGTTGAATACTAATGCTGGGAATGAGACTCAACAATCAATTGTCTTCAAGCCTCCAACCCAAAGCATCTTTATATCTTTCTTGGCTCTGATTGGTTGTTTTTGTTCAGGCCTGATTCTGGATTTATGTTACGACCCGGCTCGATGTGGA